TGATGAGATCCCCTCTCAGCCTTCTCTTCTCCAGGCTGAACAAGCCCAGCTCCCTCAGCCTTTCCTCCTAGGGGAGATGCTCCAGGCCCCTCATCAGCCGTGTTTCCCTCCTTTGGACTCTCTCTAGGACTCCTCATCCTCCTTGAACCGGGGAGCCCAGAACTGGACGCAGAGCTCCAGGTGGGGTCTCCCCAGGGCAGAGCAGAGGGGGAGGAGAACCTCCCTCGACCTGCTGGTCACTCTCCTCTTGATGCACCCCAGGATGCCATGGCATTCTTGGCCACCAGGGCACCCTGCTGGCAAATGGCCACCTTGTCACCCGCCAGGACCCCCAGGTCCTTCTTGGCAGAGCTGCTTCCCAGCAGGTCAGCCCCCAGCCTGTACAGGTGCATGGGGTTAAATAATAGTGTCTTATTGACAAAAATAAATAAAAAAAGAAGAATTTAGGAAGTTACAGAAGAAAAACCAACATTCAAAGGAGCCATCAGGCTGGGGAAAAGTAAATAACGAAGATCTGAGAACATAAAATCCTTCAAGAGGCAAAAAACCAAAAGAACAAATAACGATGCTGTTAAAACAAAGGGTTTTTAACCTTTAGTCCATGATTTTTAGGGTTAAATGTCTGTCTCCTTCCTTGGAGACCTCGGAACGGTGCTGGGTGTTGGCGGTTTGAGATGCTGGGAACCAACCTTAGGGTAAAAAGGTGCAGGAAAAAATCTCAGAACAATAATTTGAAACTTACAATCCAGAGTCCGTCAAATTTCAAGCTTTTCGACGCATTGTGGGGATTGGTGTAGACTTCCGCAATTTCTCTTGCCCACCATTCCCTCGTGGAATTGCGGAAGAAATCCGGAAAAGCTACGTACGCACGGTAGAGCTGTTGCAGTAGTAGGGAATAAATAAATAAATAAATAAATAAAAATGAAGCACAGAGGCGGGACTGAAAGCATTCCACTGCTAAAATGCTGGAATTTAGTTTAACTTTTTTTATAAATTTAGAATTTAAGTTTCTCTTCATGGTTTTGCCACAGTTTTTAGATGTTCTGGCAGAAAGGGTGGGCAGTTCCTGCAACTCTATGCTGATGTTATTTAGAGGTTGGGGGCTTTTTTGACGTTCTGGTAGAACAACTGGTCACTTCCTGCATCTGACTTCTTAGATTAAATTTTATCACGCAGTTTGTAGCCATAAATCTTAATGAATTCGCTGCTCCCTCTCTGCTTCCCAACTTTTATAGAATCACAGAATTGTTGAGGTTGGAGAAGCCCTTGGAGATCCCCAAGCCCAACCCTTGACCCAACCCTGCCATCCCACCACCAAACCCCGGCCCCAAGGGCCACGGCCCCATGGGTTTTGAACCCCCCCAGGGCTGGGGACTCGACCCCTTCCCTGGGCAGCCCCTTCCAGTGCCTGACAGT